TTAGTTCAGGTAGCATTTCACTTTCACCTTCTCCCCAACGTTACTGCTGCACAGTTTGCTACAAATACCACTTCCAGCGTCTATATAGGAAGCGTCATCCAAATAATTTCGGCAGATTTCAGTGCGATGCCTCGGTATCAGTTGCAAGTATGCCTTAACAACAGGGTTTCTCTGCTGTTTCATAAAATTCGTAATCTCACAAAACAATTATGTCGGAGTTCGAAGGTTGATTGAACTGGATATTATCAACATTTACATGTAGCCTACCCATTTAAACGCTGAGTTGAACAATTATTTAAATACAGGCATATCTATTGCCAGTAATCCTTACCGGCTATTACGGAGGACGTGCGGTTCGGTGGCCATATAGACCGGTTTTATGCAGATTCGGGAATGCATAAATTCTTCTTTTGTGAGATATTCTTTTTGTGAGATAAGACTACTTATCTTTGACTTCGAAACGTGACCCTTTTTCTGATTTATCGAACAAAACCTCAACCAGGTAGACACTGACCACTTGTGTTTACCCTATCTCACGATGCAACTTCGGTTTAAGACCGCGCAACACAACCGCTCAGTTCTTGAAACAGCGAGACGAAAAAACAGTTACCTTGGTTGGTATCTTTGGTGTCGTTACTTGTCAGCAGTTTTGTGCCCTTTCCTAAGTCTTAAAAGTGCACTATCGCCTACTTGTCGATAAGTTCTTTGCATAGAGCCGTACCCCTGATGATTGGTTGGCGAACACACGTTTCTGATTTCTCACGTTTACTTCATACGACCGGGATCATGCCTTATATGGCCGACTTTGACTATAACACCGATAACTCTTGTTCACACGTGAGGATCTGTGGTAGTGGATCGTGAGCTTTTGACAAAATTCAAATACCGATGGTCAGACAATCACCTCCATGTCTTGAAGGACTGCTCCAAGCCAGAAGTCGGGCCGACCCCTCATCGTCGCCTCTGGTTAGGCAGTAGAGTCTGATATGTAAAAGAGGAGCAGCAGTTAGTTCCTGGAGTGAGCCATGAAAAACCTTCTTCAGTCGTCTTTCTTAGGCAACCTTAAGTAATTTTGCAATGCGGCTGCAGCAATTTCGGACTATATAAAACAAGACTAAGTCTGTGTACATTAGTCGAAGAAATTTCACAGGTTACTATAGCCAGACACTCTATTTTTTGTTCCTCTCTTACATACATGGCTCACAATTGGTAATTTTACAAAGTGACAGGAAGAACAGATGCTCGGTGCGCACATATCCCTGTGGCTATGCAGACATCGTAGTGGTCCTATCGACCTTCAAAAATCCCACAACTTTAATTCGGTCGATTATGTCCTATTTGCTCAGTTAATTTGTCAACGACTTCGTTGCAAAAGATTTTGGGCCGTCCAATCCATCTGACTGGCAGCCACTAATGTCCGGGAAGCCTTCCTCTGATTAGGGATGCAACTGGGAAACGATTCGCTCTTCTCATAACTGGCCGGTAAACTAGCTAAAACTGTAAATATTTTCTCCCTAAAACTACTTCCTGTATATTTTTCCTAAGCTCTCCTCAGCCAAGTGAAATTTTACGGTACATCCACAACAGGATTGATGTCTGAACAATTATACAAAATTAATCAAATTTTTTAAAGTTCGAGAAGGGTCGAAAAGAACCATGGAAAATGGGAATTAGTTGAATGTATGCAGTTCTAGCTTGTCATTTAGTTCTGATTCTTGCTTTTACTCTTTCAGACACTATGGGGTCCGTTTTCGGCACTCAACCACCCCACGATGTCCACTTTGCACGTTCAGATATATTGGTTCGTTACCATATCAATAATTATAGCATCGTTCTTTAGGTTTCCGATGATGTCCTAGAGAGAATGATGCATCACCAAAGCAGCGTCCCCCCTGTCGAATCAAAACCTATAGCTGCCCCGGCGCCCCCAATTGCTGGTATAGCCCTCCTAAATTGTCGCTTACGCCTTTAGAACCGCCTCCTCCGCCTGCTGAGGATACATCCTCTACCTTCAGACTTTCTCACTCCTTGGATGACATCGAGCGGAGATTTGAAGCCCGTCTCAAGAAAATAGAACAGCGAGTAAGTTCTAGACTTACAACCCTGAGTAGTGCTACCGTGCAGATGTAACCTAATAATCCCCTAAAAAGTATTGATTAATCCTCTTATCTTAGGTTAAAATAACTGCCTTCCCACTGTTTCTTTTATTTCCTAATGCATGCCTTTCGCCAGAAAAAACTTACCCAGTACATGCTCTGTATGTGTTTGACTCTTTTAGGATGACTCTTTTCTCAAGGCGGCTGAAGCTGAATTCATTCGGGTTGTTGACCGTCTTGAGGCCAAGTACCTGTAAGTTTTGCCGCCACAAGCTTAATTTTTCACTCAAACTTTGCATCTCATCCTCTGATATTTCAACTACGCCTAATTTTTTCGAGTCCATGCCTTTTTACCAGCAAGTTTTGAATTCGAAGAGGACGAGCTGTCTTCCAGTTCCTAATCCGGATCGGTCATTGGAATTCACTCCCACGAGACACTCGCTACCTTTGTGCTACTGTGACTAGTTTGTTTCATGTAAGATTTTAGAACCCCTTCGCGGCTTTTTCTTCCACAGGAAAGGTTCCTCCGAGGCCTGTTGTTTGGATGCGCAAAAGCAAGTTATGGATTGCTACAAGGCCAATGGAAAGCAGTCACTGAACTGTAACAAGGAGGTGAACGAATTTGTTTGTTGCGTGGCAAACTTTCGTGCGGTGAGTAGCCAGTCCCTCTATCTTATATTTTCTTGGTCTTTCTCCCCTCCGCCCTGCCAGGTGATAGTCCTTGATGGATCCCATTGATTACTGCCCAATAACCTAGTTCATAGACGACCACTTATATAGGTTTTTGTTCCTCAGAAAATAGTTGTCGCTAGACTAGCCATAACTACTGGAGCCCCTGACATCAGTGTATAATTTTCCCTTTATCATTGTGGGTCGTCAGTTTAAGAACCCACTACTCTTCATTTGCACCTCTCTTGGCTGTCTGCGCACAATGCGGCAATCATCTGCTTCTGTATTAACATTTCCTTTTAAATGCATGTTGTCCGTTTGTTCAATCTTACTTTAGAACATTAATTGAAGTTTTTAATTAACAAAGGCTCTAAAACTTTTTTTATCCCACTTTCGCTTTTCAGGCCAGAATGACTCGAGCTCAGCCCGCTGCCATGTAGTTCAACTTGCAGTGGATGTTTATCCCCTGTAAACTCTAGTCGTGCCGTCGTAGACGTCGTCCGGGACGTGCATGGAGACGAACCATCCCACCTACTTTACCTTTGTTACTTCCGCCAGTCCTGTTAGAAAAGAGACTATGTAGGCTTTTTCACTGACTTTTCCCATGCCCCAGGCATATGTACTATTACGTTTTTAAAATATATCTGCGTTGGAGCATTTGAACCGGAATTTTGAACTGTTTTACGAAATTCCCAAGCGCAGGGATGATTTTCGCATTGATTCGAATTTTTAATGTGTACCGAACCCCGTTGTAGAGTAGGCAAGCATTTATCCGTAAGAAACCTGGCATGATTTCACGTAGGCTCAATCAACCACTGGTTCTCGTATTGCCTGTTATTCGAAGGCATAAACGCCTGTCGTGGATTTCACCGACAGGCGTCTGCTTGACCGCTGTATACAATGGATCAACGTTTCTGACCAGCCGACCAACCAAATGCGCGCCCGACCGTCCGATCTTCGGGAATCGGCGTGTAATTAGTAAAAAGATAATATCGCCACCATGCACGACCTCCATCGAGCAGATGACGTGTTTTTCAGTTCAGAAGATGTCCACCGCCTGAATGTGTTCGGTCGATCATACTCGCGTTTCCTTCCCTTCTCAACGAACTCTCTCCCGACTATCTGTGTTTTCGGTAAGGAATTCAATCCGTGGACTGTGCCGTCCTTGTTCACTAACTTGAAATGGTTCATTTCCGTGCTGCACCGACCCAAAGTCAAAATCTTTTAGGATGTTACCCCAGTCGAACTCAACCCTAGCTGGCAATGGTCTTGAGGGTGTAAGTGACCGTTTTCAGATTTGACCGCGGACTGTCGTCTGTGTAACCGAACTGCCAGTTGGTCCAGCTTCGCTTGGGAGTGCTGTTGACAGAATGCAACAGTGGGCGAACTTGCAGCCTGGAGTTGTTTTAGTCAGTCAGAATTAATTATCGTTAAGAAACAGTGCCACTGCAGTACCTGGAAGTAAGCCAAATCACGAAACCGAAGGAGTTGCAGAGGATAGATGCGCAGCCCTGTCGCTGGCTTCAGTAGAACCCTGCATCCTATAGGTTTACTTGACTTATGAAATGGAGGCTCTTAAGTGCTTTACTCGAAAAGCTGGATCATGTGACAATACCTACCCGACCGTCAATTCCGACGATATCCACCGTGTGCCGCATGTCTTTGTGGACGCAGGGACGGTGACTAACACGTGAACTTGTTTATAGTGATAGTGGCCTTGCGTAGCATTTACCGCACCCTCCTCCTCACCCGCCTGGGTTCGGAGTCAGGACAGTCAGGAAGGCTGGTGGTGAGATCTGACGCGGCGTGAGCCTGCGCCTAGGCGTGCTACAAACCCCAGTTGCAGCTTTCTTTGTGGTTGCACATCCCAAATAACGCTCACCGTGCCCTGATCTGTCCACCGTGCCAGCCCACCGTATATTCTGTTGTAAGAGCGAACAAGTATCCAATATCGTGTGTGGGTTGCCTCTCATCACCCTGCTCGCTGACGTGGGTCGAACCAAGTAGAGCTCTGCACTGTACTTGTCACCCACTTTTTTGTTAACACGGTTTAACTGGCGGAAGTCGTGTGGCATTTGGGCGAAACTCGAAGTTCCGCCCTCGGTAGGCGGTGCGGCCGTCACCTAGCGACAGATGCACTCGAGATTAGGAAAGATCGATTGGTGTGTAGGTCCTAATTGATATAAACACACAGGTTTCGGGGTCAAATCTAGTGGTTCGTGTTCAGAAGACCTAATTTAAAGTTCCCTCAGAGGCCAAGTACTAGACCGGAATTTTCACACAGCCGCGGAACATCAGTAAAATGTTTGCCTAGACCTTCAGACAGTGTATGCGTTTATCAACTTATGGTGCTTACATGGGGTATGTGTGGAAAGATTAAATGATGTAAATAACTTTCACATCTGCAGTAGCAGAAATAAATTCCCCGTTGCGCTCTCCTCGGAACAGTGGTCGGTCTCCTATCTTACGAGGGTGAAACTGTCATAACAAGTAGAACGGAATGGGTATGTAGGTCAGAACAACTTAACAACGCTTTCGATGTGATTGGTAGATAAAGGCAACTAAGGATAAATTCTCGTCAGGCCAGTACATTTATATGAGAACGGGGTACAAGTTAAAACTTTTTCACCTTTTCGTACAAGTGAGTCGTGGGTGATCTATTAGGTCCCATCAAATTATCCAAAGTCCCTGGGTCAGTGCCTGCTAGCAACAGCAGAAGCTACCGCTGTCAGGTTGATGAAGCCGGCATTGTGTGCACAGAAGAACCTCCTACAAGCTCCGCGTCTGGCATGGCCGACAGTCACTTAGCGGCATGCACTCGTCCGCGCTATGTTCGTCTCCCTCCCCTAGGCTGGCTGCAGCAAGCACTGTCCCCTCAACCAGACTTCGCTTATCGACCCCTCCCCCTATACACCCGACTCGCTTGTAAGAGAAGACGAACGCGTTTGAACTTGTACCCTGGTCCCATATAAATG